TGACTAATATATTAATAAAAAATGGGGCACAAAATGACTAAAAGCATTGTAACGTTTATAGTGAACTAAAGTTCACTAATTGCCTTGATGATTCAATAATATCGTCCAATTAATAATTGTATTTTTTTATAGCTGCCCATATTAGAGCTAAACAAAGAATAACTAAAATTGAACTGGTATAAAAAGTTATCAATCAAATTATATAATCGAAAACAGAATGTATTGAAAAGGGTTAGAAACAAATGTCACATTATTATCAAATTATTTTTATGGTCACTAAACAGATAATTAGTGTCATAACAGATGTCTAACCGAAAAAAGTGGTCTGTTTTTTACGGAACGGGTTTTTAAGCAATACGTGAATGAGTCACACAATAGGGTTAATTAAAAGGGTCGGCATTAATGCAAACAACACTTCAAACTATTGAAAGTAAGTTTGTATATAAGTGTACACTTCAAGAGCCCATCATTACTATCCCTATTGTGACCTTCACTTACATAACAGCCCAACAAATTGCATGATTTATAAAAATAAAGTTTGACTAATACTGCGAATACTATTATAGCGTACTAGCGTACTAGCGTACTCAGCCATTTAAAGTTTAAAATATTATTAATTTATTAAACAATTTAATAACTATGAAGTGTTTTATTTCAAAATATAAACATTGACATTCACAAATTGCTCACAAACTCTGTTACCAACCCCCTCTCCTATTTCTGTTGTCTATCCCCCTCTATGTGTTTTAAATACATTCACCCCATTTTCACCATCCTCCCACCCCCTATTGTATGGTATAATACTGTTATACTGTTGTTAATGAACAGTTTATTTAGCTGAAATAGTATACTTGATTTTTTACATTCATTAATCCATTCAAAAATGCATGACTCATACCAAACGTGTTTTATAAATGTAATTCAAAAATGTAAAAATTGTGTACAAATTGTTGTCTTTTTAAAGTATAAAAAATTGCATTCAAATAATTAATTCATTTCATCACTACTTCCGATATGAAGTCACGTTTCCTTCAGATTAAAAGTTTTAAATTTGCTTTTTGTGCGTAAAAATCATATAAATTATTAAATTTTGAAAGATTAAGAAATCTTCAATACCATTGAAAATATGCTTATGATTCCTGAGCAGAGTCTGTATTCCTCCGCATTGGCTCTTCATATGCGACAACATATCGGCGGACAATAGTCTCGGTATAGAACCGAGCGTTAGATTCGCGTTTCCGTTGAGTAATTCGTTTGCAATGATTGTGACAATCGATTGAATGATATCTTTGGGAAGACGAGTGCAGTTTCGGACCACTTCTACCTTTTCTCTCGGCTTATATTCGTTAAAATCTTTAAGTTTTTCGTTGACAAACTCTTTGCGTTTAGTTTTCATCATTGATTGCATACTCTTATCGTAATTCCTTTCGTCACAAATAATACAAATTCGTTTTGTGGACGGAATCCGGAGTTTATCTACTTTTGGCTCAAAGCCCAACTCACGACATACTGTCTGCAAATATCGCATATAACAACTGTATTGACTCAATGCCGAACAAGTTCTTTGATATTTGGATCCATTGAAGTCGAACGGACAGCACGGAAGCAGAAACGCGTTCATCGCATGGGAAGCGTTGGCGGCGATGTATGGGATCCTAATTTATCATCATTTGATTAACAAAAACAAAAATCTCTAATTAAAGTCAAATACCAATCAAAAGTTCAGTAAACATTAAATCGTTGTCAATATATAGTGTAAACATATTTGTTATTAGGAAAAAACTATTTTCCTAATGAATCTAATCTGGAAATCAGTCTATTATTAGAGCCGGTAGTCAACAGAACTCAAGGCTAATAAATGTAATTAGTGTTTGAGAATTAAGTTTCATCTGCGAAAAACATTTATATAAGTACACTATAAATGTAATTATATTTTCTTCTTGTTTTACAAGTAAAATCAAAAACAAAAAAAATTAATGATTTTAATTGAATACAAACCATGGCGTCAATTCATCGGAATGGTTGCCAATCAGCCAATCGTAGTGTTCAAAGCCGAACGTGTCGTCCGACGGCGTGAACACTCTCTCCACTAAATCCACTTTCGAATCGTATTTATCCCAAATGTTTCTTCGCCTCAAATCGATTCCCAACCCTTTGTAGCCCTCATTCGTCAACAGATAGACGAGTAAACCATTTCCGCATCCAATGTCCACAAATGTTTGTTTGCATTTCTTATCTCTGGCCTCGTTTTGTTGT